TTTCTAAAGTGCATAAACTTTTGGGATTGACCGTATAGCCAATACATCCTTAATACCGAGATCTCTTCGATACGATGGAAATGAAAATGATCAGACAACATCGTAAAATGAAAACGTTCGTTGTTAAAATATCTCGATACAATTAAATACATTGCACGTTCATGTTTGTTTACATGTATAATGGTCCCTTATCGTTATCTTAATATAATTAAAATCATTTCTGGTTCACTTGTCCTGGAATGCTCGTTACTGCTATCTTATTTATACAATGCGTACGTCCCGGAGCTGTGCATGGACGGTTCGTTTTTAATCTAATCGGCTCCGAAGATGTATCCAGCGTCGCTGGGTTTAGTATCGATGGAAGAGTTTGAAGACTATTTTTCTTAGTGAATTTAACGTTCTCCGGCATAATTTCAATGATCGAATCTTCGGTAGGAAGTGGGCCAGTTTTATTCGTATGTACGAAAATCTTTTTCAACTTCTTACCGTTCGTCACTATGCCTGTAAGAATATGGACAATTTTTATTACATGATCTCTCTGTAGTCATTGTATTCTAGACATTGCGTACCATTTTGTGAAACGCTGGCTTCTTGAGTATTTTCCTAAAATATTAATGAATAAAGTAAAAATATAATGTTTCAATAAAGCGAAATCGCTTCTAGCTACCTTTTGCGAAATTAATTCTTTGATCGGCTTAAAAGGATTCGAATGAATCGACAGCCTCGACGGTGAATCTACCGCTATACTTCGTACTTTGGTATTTCTCTCGCTCCGAGTATCGTGTATGGCGTGGCTCTTTATTTTACTGTTTAAAATTGCGTAGTTCTTTACTATCGTATCTAGCAACCATCTGTGTAATTCAGTTTCATCGATAAATGATAGAACTATGTTTGAACAAAACGACGAAGTCAGTTACGTACTTATATCCATTTTTAATGCCTATCGTATTATCTTTCGATTCGTCTCCTTTCCACAGGCAAGAACATATTTCCACTCTCGTAGGGCATTTCATAGTATTAGCCGCGCGTTCTACATCCAAGTTCTCGACAACATCTAATTCATCAATCGCTCCGTTTACATCTTGTTTGTTCGCCAGCCTATTTACAAAATGCGTATCGCGATTTCACTAAAATCAATAGACGCATCATACGCGTACAGATATTTTACAGTAGTGCATGTTGTATCTACAAGGTTTTGTGCGTAAACAGTGACACAAGCATAGTAAAGAATACGTTCAGTTTTCTTACAACAACAATGGCTTTCCTGAAATATATTCATGTGAAATTAGTTCACCAAATACAACTTTATTTTCTGTAAGACGGGAAATATCACTAGCATCCACCACATATATAAGACCATGTATCTAAAAGATGCAAAATGAAAAGGTCCGATTTAAAAAAATGATCAGGGTAAGTACGACGGGACATGTACTGTTCAGAATTCTGAAATTCTAAGCCTGATCTAAAAACTATTCTCGCTACTGTTAATTACTTACACCGTTATAATATTTTGGCCACAACGATCTGATCTGAGAACTGCCGCCGATATCGTAAATCTTTACGGTATATGATTTATATTTCATAGACACCGTGTGGAAACCCATTGTAGGCAACACGGTCTCGTCTGAATCTGAAGAAACGAATTCGCTGTTTAACACGTGCATCGTAATCATGGAAATATGTTCGCGTCGATCTCAGCTGTTAATAAATAATTAAAATAAAAATCTTTTGCATTAAAATTCGAGTATGTACCGCCGTTTATTTGATTCAGGATCGTGGTCTTTCCCGCATTGTCAAGACCGACGATGAGCAAAATGATAGTCCTGAAAATGAAACCTCGCGTGAAACTTTTGTAAACGTCACGCCCTTATCAAGGTATACTTAATTTATTACTTTTCGGAACATCTTTTCCTTTGTAACCTCCTGAGTACGCTTCGTATACAATTACCCATTGTAATAAACGCGTTTTATACGTCACGCTCTTTCCAAAATTCGTACAAAACTGTTGTTTTTCAAGTCATGTTGTACGATACATCTTTGTATTTAATAAACGCACTTAAATATAATAAGAAAAACCTATTATTATGCATCTGACACATCAAATACATCAAATTGTGTACAGTGTGTCACGCGAAGCCGTTCCCAGAGATAGCGAAGCCCGGGGTAAGCCTGCCCCTGATAAAAATCTGTATATTTAGAGATCGCGTTCAAAATGGCACTAACCATGATTTTTCACGGTGATCACAAAATCACGATCACGAGTCGTGATTATACTCAATCACGACCGTGATTGCGATTTTCTATAATAAATAATAAATAGCCTCTTCATAATCGATATTCATATTATTTCTACGGCAATATTGCAGTCAAGCGGGTTCGCGGCCGCGGACGCTAGATGGCGCCAGCTCCAAAATTTTGTGGACTCTTTCACCACAGGTCCCTAGTTCTAGTGATTCATTATTCCACCATCCCGGCAGGGGTCTCAGAATTTATCCCTCGGCCGGAAAGTGGGGACAACGCGACCATGGTGGGGATGGGTACTTGATAGGTTCACTTCGTGAAGGCGCATGAGGAGAATAGTAGTGGGAATCGAAATACGGGCGAAAAAGAGGGGAAGCGAGCCGTGCGGAATAAATTCTGAGACCCCTGCATCCCGGCACTGGATCTTCAAAATCTTATAATACTTCCTTCAAGCCAACGTCTTCAGGGTTCAATGTAGCCTTCTTGCTCTTCTTGGCTGATTCATCTGTAATAGGAAAAAGAACGATTCCGTATTCATAAATTGCAAATCTATTATATATTCAAT